TTGTTCCTGATGTTCCTAACAGAACACTTCGCTCTCAATCTGCAGGTTTACTAGTGGTTCCTAGAATTTATTTGTCTTTCTTTGTCCCCCTTTGACAGACAGGCAAGACTCCAGACTTTATCTCTGCTTCTTGGCCAATAGAGCAGATTTCAGTTATTTTATTTACAAAGCAGTTAGGACACATACAACAATCTGTATTTAGCAGTCACTTAAATGATACATGAAGAATTAAAGCACACAAGGCTCCGCCAGTGGTGTGCAGGCTGTATTCAAACTTGAGAACATTGATTCACTAAACAAAATAGAGCAGAGCAATAAACTGTGTCTGTGCGAATGTTGACTCAGCAGTGACAATATTAAATGTAGAAATTTGATCTAGCTGAATAAATATTTGAAAACTTCAGAATGCTTTGATTGAATTATGTATCACATGATCGAGGGCTGATCTTTGTGCTTTCTTGCAACATAAACGGATTCGCACAACAAACCAATAGCAAAGAAGCATAAAACGTTTCATAACAAGGTACCAGAAGAAAAAAAAAGTAATGTAAACAGTAACAATGAAGTTATCCTTTTACCAGAGTTGCTGTAATTAGTTTTGCCTCTCTGGCAATTTTAGTTTCCATGCATGTGTTTTTATGGGGTCTCTGTTGTGCAGTCAGGCGCAGGTAAACTTTCATATTCCCCCAAATACATGTTTTTTGAGGTTTCAACTCTCATTAACAACTATAAAGTAAAAATTGTCATCAAAGCATCCAATTTTTTGTGTTTTTTTTTTTTTTGCCCGCCTGTAATATTAAAAGGTGGAAACTTTACCTTTCCTTCTTCCTTATTGGTTATGAATGCTTTGCACATTTAAATAAATTAAATACACTGTTTTGGTGGCAGTTGACCATTTAGAGTTTACATTAAACATGCTCAGATACATGCATACATCTACACTGTCAGATGCAGAGACAGGTAGGCAGAGGTGAATTTTGGTGGGTTTAATGAGGTCCACAGGAACTGAGGCAGGAATCAAAAAATCCAACAAAATAACAAATGAACCAAAACCAAGGAGACATCAGGGGAAAACCAAACTCTAGGAGCCAGGGAGAGACGAGGTAAGCAAACAGACGATTGACGAGGATCCAGCAAACAGGAACTGAAGAGGGAGGGTTTTTAAAGGGGACAGAGACAAAGAGAGGGCTAACGAGGGGATTGGAAACAGGTGAGGGCAGAACAGTAAACAGAGCAAGGGAAAGAGGACACAAGAGGGCAGCAGAGGACAACAAATGGAGAACCAAGACTGTGACACCTGTCTGCACTTTCCAAGTATTCCTTTCCTGCTAGAATCTTGTCCCCTACTGTGAGTTGCTAGATTGTTTCTGTGCCATAACCTGCACCTGAGATCTTCCCTATTATGTTAGATCTAGGCCTCCATTGCCCTGGTGTTACAGTGACTTGAAACAGCTCTTGACAATTCTTCAAAATATGCCACCTAGAAAGCTACAAACTAGGCATGGATCCTGTATCAATGACTGCCAGCGCCTGCTGGCTTTATGGTCACTAAGTGTCTTTTCTGGACTTATAAATATGGCCACTTTTTTTTCGGAGTGCTTCGAGGAGACCATCACAGAGTAGTGGACGCATGGAGCTGACCACATCAGAGAAAGGCGGGCTAACAGTGAAGCTAAGAACAAATCCCTACAGACCACCGCTCTCTTCTATCCTGCTCACTGGTTCCTGGACGTGGATCGTCTTCAACTCGACCTCTCTTCAGAGGGACATTAGTAACCGGTGCGCTGTCATTCTGGCCGAGTCATGGCTTATCTCATCAATTGCTGATAATGCCGTTAGCCTTCAGGGGCTCACAGTATTCCATGCTTGTACAAACTCGGAACTAAGCAGTAAGACCTGAGGAATTTAGGGACCTTTTTACTCTTTTCTCAAATTTTGATGTTTTTGCTCCGTTTGTATTCGCCAAATTATTTTTACTTTAATCATGACACGTCCGATATATGTTTCCAACAAAATTCTTTGATAACATGTTAAGCAATTAATGTTCCTGGTGTGAATGTGTGTTTTTGCCTTTTATATTGCTGTTTTGAGCTGCATGGAGTCCATGCAAACTCCAATTCACTGTCCAATGTGAGTCTCCATGAGTGAATGGATGTAAAGGGTAATGGTGTAGGAGTGCATTCAGCATTCCTTCACCATTACCCTGGGAAATATGTGGCCTGTCTTTCAGCAAGTGGGGACCACCTCTCAAGTTTGTGGACAGCTTTTTCATTAAGCTCTCTGCAACCTGAGGATGGAGTGGGTAAAAGTGTATGGGACAATTTTCTGAAGATGGTGAAAGGTCAGTGAGGGCCAGTGTTGGAGGTTTATGTTTTGTCATTAAAAGAAAGCTGTGAAACGGGGAACAAACTCAATTTGAAGTTCCAGGTCCTTAAGGAGATATGCTTGGGACCCTATATTAACCTTCAAACGGAAACATTTAGAAAAGTAAAGCTAGGGACTTAAACCACTGTTTCTGATTTTTCCCAATTCAACTTAGTGAAGTTCAAACATTATTGACCTTCTTTGATGGTGCTGGGAAGATTCTCAATAATCTAGATCATAATCATTCCTAAAAAGTTAACAAAACAATTCACTGGACTTTATCTCCAAGTGTCATTTCCCATCCAGGAACCCATCTGTTCCTGTTTGGCTGTGACTCCATCCTGGAGAGAAATATCAGCTGTGCTGCTGCCATCAACACCTTTGTTTCTAGATGTTGGAG